AGCCATAAATCATATGGAATTGGAGGACACTTACATTTTTTCTCACATTTACATTTATTAATAATGCGGTGTAAACTTTCTATTTGACATACTACTCTTTGATGATCTGGAAGATTTATATCTTTAGTATCGATATCACAGTATGATTTGAGATTTAACCTTGTAGTGACGGCACTAGAATAAGTATGTCGTGTAGATAAAGCAAGTAGATTTACACCATCAGGGATAGTAAGATGTTCTAAAGTATAAGTCTTTCCCGTTTCCCAAGGTGATCCTACATATACATCGCCTTCTTTAGGTAAAGGTTCTACATATTGCTTTTCATACACTTCTCTTGCGGTAAGGGGGGAATCACAATTAACCCAAGCTGGCATTTCTAAGAAAGGCCATGGAAACTTTGGACCCTTCACCTTACGTATAACGGGTGGTGGAATATTATTTTTATTTTTTCGCTGGATTTTTTCTGCAATAGATGGATCATTGAAAATTTCCCCTGATTCGTCACGATTTTGCTGGAAGCATTTCACAATAAATGAGCCATTACCATATGCATGACCATACCACCTCTGATCTTTTTCGTGTAGGCGTTTACATTGTGGACATTCTAGATATGCTTTCCAGTTAAAATATACATACCATTGAGAATTTTTTTCTTCGATATCCCAACTCCCAAGATATTCAGAATACTTCTGCAAAACTAGATTTGCATATTTTTTTAACTCATCATGATCCACAATTATTTTTTCTGATTATTTATTTTTTCTATGCTAAGTATACGGGGCCTTATTTCGAATTCTGCATTAGATGGTGGTTGTACTCTTGTGTGATCGAGTTCATTCCACCCATTATCTAGTGAGAATTGGAGTATACGCTTTACACGATCTTTTTTTGCTGATCCAATAAGACGGAGATTAAAGTTTCGACCAGGCACCCCCCCTATCAATAAACTTACCATATTTTTCTCCCGTCAATTTGTATACTAGCTCTGTAAATTCTTTAAGTTCCAAATAATCAGTAAGAAGAGCTGGAGCATATAAAATATGGTAACTGCATTTATTAGAATTAGAAGATGTTGCAATTACTAATCCTTTGAGAATTTCCTCCCAACTGCAGTCAAGGATTTTATACAATACTCTTACGAAAGAAAAACAGATACGAATAAATACCCCTCTCGCATTGACTTTATCAACCTCCATATTTTCTCGTGATGCATCGATGTCGATTACTGGTCTTAGAGGCCTTTGCCCATTAATGGATTCATGCACTCCAGGTATTCCATATACTTCAGAGATATTATCTATAACTGAGAACTTTTTATACTCACCTTGTTCTACCTGTATAACTAATTTATCTACCAACTCCTCTCGTGTATACGCATCGAGTAAACTGATTCCTTCTTTTGCCCCATCATTAGGTAAGAGATAATCCCATAAATATACATCTTCCAGTGAACCTTTTTTATCTAACAAATCTCTGGCAGGTGGGGAAGCAATTTCACGAATTTTATTTAGCAAACCCTTTGAGGTAAATTTATCATCGAATTTTTCTTGTCTCTTAGTGAAAGCAGTCTTGGTGAAACCAGGATATATGGAGCTCACTTGATCTGTAGAATTTGTCGAATTAGACATTTGATTTTCTATATTAGGGGGTTGGGATATTGGTGACTTAATAGTACTTGTTTCGGTATCTGATTCATAGTCGGAACCATAGTCACTGCAATTCTCTGATCCACTTTCGGATATATTATCACTATAAACATCTGAGTCACTTGAATAGTCATCGGTTTCCCCACCCCCGTACCTGATCACTTGTGTGTTTTGTTTGCTCATTTTTGGTATTTGGTTTTTTTATTGGTATGTTTCAATCTTTGTTCGATTATTTTATTAGAATATAGTTTGGAAAAGTTTAAATTATTTTTTCGGTCGGTGATATCAAAAAATGCATCGTTTTTAGTCGAATGGACAACAAAAATCGTGAACTCGATAGATAAATATTTTTGGGCCTAGGTGTAGTAACCTGCAGTAATATATTATGAGAATTATGGCAGATTACTACACTTTTTAATGTCATGTTTTCGGGTATGTATTCAGGGTGGGTAAGTGCGGTAGTATATTATAAGAAAAACGGCAGAAGCCTACCTGTTCAATGGTATGTTATGGGTATATACTCCGGGTATGCTTTCGGGGTAGGTAAGTGCGGTAATATATTATAAGAATTATGGCAGAAACCTACCCATTTCGATGGTATGTTTTAGGGTAGGTAACTTCGGTAATATATTATAATAAAAATAGAAGAAGCCTACCCGTTTCAATGGTATGTTTTTGGATATGTTTTCGGGTATATATTTGATGACATGCTTTTGGGGTAGGTAAGTGCGGTAATATATTATAAGAATTATGGCAGAAACCTACCCATTTAATGATATGTTTTCGGGTATGCTTTTGGGGTAGGTAACTTCAGATTTATTTATAGTTATATATCCACCTTCTTACATATATCACGAATGAAATCGAGTTAGATAACATGTTTTTAACATAGGCGAAATTGGAACATATTTCTAATGTTAACTAATGTCAAAAATTCTGGCAATCGAAATTGGTATACATATTTGGTTGCATTAATCGATAGCATAACCAGATAGTGTGTATATAGTATATGCAATAGCAATTAGATAGCGTTAATTGATAGCAAATACGCCACCTTGGTGCGTGTCATAAAAAGCAAAATGCACGTCACTCGAGCCGTGACCTAAAATGCAAAACGCACGTTATACCGACGCATGACTCAGCGGTTCTCAATCGGCAATATTAAATTTAGGATTCTAAAGGAAATAGAACTCAATATACAGTGCGGATCATCTATACTCAAAAGTCAAAATTTTTGAAATATTATGTGATCCACACATTAGATTTTAAAAAACTTACCACCATTCAATTCAGCTTTAAAAGGG